ATTACAGTACCACTTTCATTAACTGAAGTTTAGCTTTCATTTTTTGTAGTTATTTATGTTACAACATCCTGTGACTCCAAATAAATTCATAAGCAGCAAAACACTAAGGGACAGATGTGCCCCACCCCAAATTTGAAGCACACAGTTAAAGAAGATGGAGCTCCTTAAGCTGGTTCTGGTTGTTGCTGCAGTTGCTATCAGCACTTGTAAGTCTTCATGTATATGTACACTGGTACTCTCTTACTCTCTGTAGTTCCCAGGTTCTCTCACTCAATGATTGTATTTTATCCTGCTGGGGTTTCAAATGATAGCATTATTATAGGAGTTGGGCTGGCCAAAGATGGTGATTATGGTAAAGTATGTGATGAAGGAGATACTGATATTGTTAATTTCCTCTGCTATAATCTTGGTAACGTTATATGTCTACACAATAATCATAATGACACTATTTTATAATTCTTTAGGTAGTGTTGATAGTGATAGTTACATTAATTCATCAATGTTAAATGGTTCATTAAATTTTGTCAATTTCAGCTGTCCATCTGGCTTTTCCTCATGTGGAGATAATGCTTCAATTGTTTCTAACTGCTCCTCACCACTGATATTGGATTGTGATTTTTCAGGTACCCTTCTATCTATAATGATTATAGATAATTCTCTAATGTTGTTGCTTTTGTAGGTTGTTTTCAAGGACAAGTTCAACTGGCTAACAGTGTCAATGTATCCACTGATTCTGGAGTAGCTTTGGTTGGTTATCCTGAAGTTTGTGTCAATGGTAACTTTACTCCAATTTGTAATGGAACTGAACTTGGGGCCATTGAACTGATACTTATATGTGCTTATCAATGTAAGATGATACATACTATCAAATTGCATCACATGTCTTTTGCCTTTTCTTTGTTTCTCTAGCTATTAATGCCAGCACTGGTTTGATAGGCAATCCACACAATGCTGGATTAAGTCCTCTTATGCCATCTGCTCCATCATCAGTGACTGGCTATGATTGTGATACAATGGCTAATTGTGCAGTGACTACAGGAATGAACTGTACCAGTGGTTATGCCATTGTTACTTGTGAGGAAGGTAATGCAGTACTCCCGACAGTAACAGTTTGCATGCATACAGTATATTATTGACAGTGCACAACTTTTAGTTATTTTATTACACAATAACAATAACAGTTTAGTGTGATGAATGTGTTGGTATTTTTAGGAATTCCTAGCAGTTCAGCCTGTGATCCAAATGCTTATGTCAATGGGAGTATCCTATTTAATAATGAAACTAATGTATCTGCTGATGGTTCTGTAGTAACTACTGGTATCTATCAGTCATGTACTGATGGTTCTTATGTCAGATATTGTACTCATCCATCACAATGGAGCTATCCTAGTTTGGTGGATATAGCAAATGGCATTTGTATATCATTAGGATACTCATGTAAGAATGATGCGCCTGTGCTTCATGATGATAGTTTGATTTTTAGTTGGAGTAATAGTTCCTTTCGAAAATAGATTTTATCAAGATTCACCTCCTGGTATATCAGCAATAGATATAAACTGCACTAGTGTAGAAGGATCTGAATGTAATTATACATTGTGTGATGATATTAATAGACAAATGGTGCTACGCTGTACAAGATCTCCAGGTATAAATTAAATTACTCAATGATGACTAAATTACTCATTGATATAATGCAATTTGTTATTCTCAATAGGTTGTCCAGTGACTGGTGGTTATTTGCGCAATAATATCACTAGAGTAAGTAATGGAAGGGAATACACTAGTGGTGTATTTGTCAACTGTGAGTCTGGAGTTTATCTAGCTATCTGTCGAACTAATGGGACTGATTTAAGTAATCTTTGCAGTTCTGGTATTCTCGGTTATGAAGGCAAGTTCTATCATATTTCAATCTCTTTTAATCCCTTGTTTAGGTGGAGCAGTGGTGTCGT